CCCAAAAAACCAGCCCAGGACACACTCTGAGCTCCTTCCTCCCCCTCCCCGGTGGTGTCTGAGCTCGTCACACTCCCCGTGTCAAAGTTCTCCAGGTCAGAACTGACCCTGGGCTGAGCCCAACCCCTGGGACAGGAACCAAGGTCGCCCACCCGGCGCTACTCCCCGCTCGTTAAGCCGGGTTTGGCTCGTTAAGCCGGGTTTAGGGGCGGGCAGAGCCCAATTCCCGGCAGTGCCCTCTCCGGACGAGCCCCGGGCTCTTGCGAAACCGAAAGGCGCCGCTTGTTATTGCTCAAACTCGCAGGAAACCTCCCCAAAGCAGCTCCTCCTCCTCCCCCCGCTCAGGAAAGCACCAGAACGTCACATTCCCGGACATTCCTTCCTCCCCGGAGTCATTCCACAGGCACGTCCGGGAATTGGCACAGGGGGATGGAAGTGGAGCTTTGGACGCGTTTTTAGGTCCTCCCTCCCCGTTTTTAGGTCCTTCCCCCCCGTTTTCTGGGCACAGGGGGGAGCGCAGCCCCCCAAGGCTCAGCCCAAACCCCCCCCCAAAACCGGCTCGGGGGGTCCCGTCTCGCTCCCAGTTCGCCCCCAGGACACGGGCACCGGGGCTCAGCTCCCCGTGGCCGCTCCAAAACCCCGCACGGGGGGGGTGAAATCCATGGAAACGAGTTCTCCAGGGAAGCTGCGGCTGCCCCTGGATCCCGGGAGTGTCCCAGGCCGGGCTTGGAGCAGCCCGGGACGCGGGAAGGGGTCCCTGCCCAGGGCAGGGCTGGCACTGGGTGACTTTAAGGTCCCTTCCCACCCAACCCATCCCATGATCCTGTGACCCCCTGAACCCCAAGAACTTCCCCCATCACCCAGAATTCCCCCCCCTCAACCCCAAAGAAAGCCCTAGACCGGGGGTGGGAAGATTCCAAACTGCTGAACTAAGGAATTCCTGGATTCTGGACCGAGCGGGACCCGAGGGCTAATCTGTAACCAGATTATCTGCCCCGCACAGGCCCCCGGCGGCTTTTCCTCCTCCTCCTCCTCCTCCTCCTCCCAGCGGGGCAAAGTTCGGTTTCGTTTTTTTTTTAATCTCCTCCCGGTCACTTTTTATTTAACCCTTCATTTCAAACCCGGGGCCCAACATCCCGGGAATGACCCCGCCCGGGAGCTCCCACCGCCTCCTCCACGCTCCCCCAAAAAAGGACGGGGTGGGGGGGGAACCACGACCCCGGGGGGCTCCAGGGGTGGATCCCCGACCCCAAGGGATTCCCCAACCCCAAGGGTGAACCCCCAACCCCGGGGAGCTCCGCCGACATCGGGGGGGCTTAGGGGATGGACCCCCAACCCCGGGGGCTCTCCCAACCCCGGGAGACTTCGGGGGGAGACCCCCGACCCCAAGGGTGGATCCCCCACCCCAAGAGGCTCCGGGAGGTGGATCCCCGACCCCAAGGGGCTCCCCCAACCCCGGGGGGGGAACCCCTGACCCGAAGGGTGGACCCTCGACTGCAGGGGGCTCCCCCAACACGGGGGTTCCGGGGGTGGAACCCCAACCCCGAGGGTGAACCCCCGACCTCGGGGGGCTCCCTCAACCCCGGGGGCTCCAGGGGTGGATCCCTGACCCCAAAGAGCTCCGCGGGTGAAACCTTCGACCCCGATGGTGGATCCCCGACCCCAAGGGTGGACGCCCGATCTCAAGGGTGGACCCCCGACCCCGAGAGGTTCCGGGGGGTGGATCCCCGACCCTGAGGGTGGACCCCCGACCCCGGGGAACTTCGGGAATGAACCCCCGACCCCCAGAGGCTCTGTGGGGTGGATCCCCCGACTCCAAGGGTGGACTCTCGACCTCGGGGGACTTCGATGGCGGAACCTCGACGCCGGCACCACCCCTCTCTGTGCCCCCTCTCGCAGGGCAGAGCCCCCCAAATCCCCCCGGCACCGGGGTCCGTGGCTCGCCCCCCAAGGGGGGGCGGCGGGTCGCGCCCATCGGACCCCCCCTCCATTCCCTCCCGCCCCGCCGGGGGGAGGCAGGCTCGAGGCCACCGTGGCCGTCACCCACCTTGGAAGGCGAGCTCGTGCTTCCTCATCACCCCATCCCCGACCCTCCGCAGCGTCTCCAGCGCCTTCTCCATCACGGCCTCCCCCGCCGCTCCGGGCCGGCCGGGCCCACCCAGCAGCCCGGGAAACAGCTTTTTGCCGCCGGCCGGCGAGGCCTCCCCCGCCGCCTCCCGCAGGTAGCGGCCGATGAGCTCCAGCGTGTCCTGCCGGAGCGGGTCGGGGGGTCCCGGGGGGGTGCCGGGCAGGGAATCGCCCCCTTCCTCCTCCTCCTCGGGAGGGCCCTTCTCGGCGTCGGGGTCGCAGCCGTCCAGCTCCTGCTCGGGGCGCCAAAGAGCCGCGCCGCAGCCAATCAGCGCGCGCGGCGCGGCGCCGCAGCCAATCAGCGTGCGGGGGGGGCGGCCGGCGGCAGCGAGGGGGGCCCGCTCGGCTGAGGCGGCTCCGGCGGCTCCTGAGGCGGCTCCGGCCGGGGCGGCGGTTCCGGAGGCGGCTCCTGAAGCGGCTCCTGCCGAGGGCTCCGGGCGCGGCGGCGGGGCCGCGGGGGCCAAGGCCGGCGAACCCCCGCAGTAGAGGTTGAAGCCGAGCACGGCCCTGGGCTTGAGGGAGAACATGGCGCCCGCTGCGGGCGGGCCGCGGCCGCCGCCGCCTTTTTATCGGGGAGCGGCGGTGACGCGGAGCGGGGGCGGCTCCGGCACAGGGGGTGGGCCCGGCCCGGGCCCGGCCCGAGGGGTGTGGGGGGGAAAGAGGGAAATCCGCCTCTGCTGTGAGGGGGAAAGGGAAAAATCCGCCTTTGCTGTGAGGGGGAAAGGGAAAAATCCGCCTCCTGTGTGAGTGGGAAAGAGGGAAATCCGCCTGTGCTGTGAGGGGGAAAGAGGGAAATCCGCCTCTGCTGTGAGGGGGAAAAGGGGAAAAATCTGCCTCTGCTGTGAGGGGAAAAGAGGGAAATCCGCCTCTTGTGTTGAGGGGGAAAGGGGCAAATCCGCCTCTGCTGTGAGGGGGAAAGGGAGAAATCCACCTGTTCTGTGAGGGGGAAAGGGAGAAATCTGCCTCTGCTGTGAGGGGGAAAGGGGCAAACCCACTGCTTCCCAGCACCCAGCCCGCTTGTACCGACCCCCATCCCTCTTTTCCTGACCCCCAATCCCCTTTTCCCGACCCCCATCCCTCTTTTCCTGCCCCCATCCCCCAAATTGCTCCAATCCCCCTTTTTCCATCCTTATTTCCCCTCCCCAGCCCTACCCAGTAACTTCCCATTACCGGGAACAACGGGAATAACAATTCCCTGTGGCCCAGGGGATGTTTGCTCCCTGTGCCCAGCTCCATCCCCATCCCATTCCTGGGGTTTTATTCCCTGCCCAGCCCCAGCTCCATCCCATTCCCGGGTTTTAATTCCCTGCCTAGCCCCTCAGCTGATCCCATTCCCAGGGTTTAATTCCCTGCCCAGCTCCATCTCCATCCCATTCCTGGGGTTTTATTCCCTGCCCAGCTCCATCCCATTCCC